TATATATATATATATATATATATATATATACTATAATATACATACATATATACTTAATATAGATGTATACGTATGTATGTATTTATGTAAATGTAAATGTATATATATATATATATGCGCACAAACATATATAAAAACATCTATATGTGTGTGTGCGTGTGTATGTATGTAAGTATCTATGTAGGTATGGAAGTATGTAAGTATGTAATTATGCTATGTATATTGTGTTTGTATGATGTATGTGTATGTATTTATATATGTATTTATGTATGTGTATGTATTTAAGTATGTATGTATGTCTATATTTATATTTGAATGTATACATGTATGTATGTATGTAGTTGTGTATGTATGTATTTATGTGTGTATGTATGTATGTAGATATGTAGATATGTACGATGTATGTATTTATGTATGTGTATATACATACATATGTATATATGCACGTATGTATGTATTTATATATTAATAATGTATATAAGTGTGTATGTATGTATGAATGGTTGTATGTATGCATTTATGTATGTATGTATGTATGTAAATATGTATGGATGTATGTATATATATATATGTGTGTGTGTGTGTGTGTGTGTGTGTGTGTTGTGTGTGTATGTATGTATATATATATGTATGTATATATGTATATATGTATCTATGTATCTATGTATATATATATCTATGTATATATATATATATATATATATATATATATATATATATATATATATATGTATATATATATATAAGTATAGATAGATAGATATAGATATGCTCACATCTTCCCATATTAGTATGTTTATACAAATACAATCGATTTAAACATATACGTGTGTATTTGCAAGCGTATGAGTTTGTCGTTGCACACTCGTATGTTTCCTAATGTACATGTCTATCTATATACACACAATATTAACATGTAGCTCATACCACAAATGTCGATTCTTCATACATTTTGAAATTAATTCAAGACCATGTTGATCTTTATCATAGTAGTAGTGGTTTATTACTTTGTGCATCGCCGTTCATCTTTGTGCTAACTCCAGTTTTCTGTTTAACTAGATATGACATGAACAACCTGAGATACGTAAAGTAGTACAGACGTTAAATAGAGCTATTATAGGTATCTCCAGACTCCTTTTACCTGTAGATGATTGGTTTCCAATACTTTAACGTATATACTGATTCTTCCTTACAACCCTGTATACAACCCGTAATCCGTTAGGCACCTACACCATCTGAGCCGGATGGGCGGACAACATAATTGTTTGGTGTTACTTTAGCGTATATACTGATTCTTCCTTACATCCTTATATACAATCCGTAATCCGTTAGGCGCTTACACCATAAAGGCCGGATGGGCGGACAAACCCGAACCTTCGCTAGTGTTCAGGAGTAGAGTAGCACGAGCGAGGAAAGGCTTCGGCGAAACTGTGGGCATGATGGTAGGCAATGACATTTCCAACAGAGAGTCGTTGCGAGCTCAGTACCGCAACTATATGGAGGCGGGTGTGGTCACCAATTTCATCACACAGGTAGGCTGTATGTATGTATATATATATATATATATATATATATATATACCATATATACGTACATATATATATATATATGTGTGTGTGTGTGTGTGTGTGTGTGTGTGTATGTCTGTATGTCTGTATGTCCATATGTCTGTGTACAGATACATGTGGTATCTATGCACGTATAAGCCCACTTTACTAGCACTGCGAACTTGAGACCTCGGCATACAAGTGTATCCTATGAACAACATGTCTGCTATATAGTATGTTTTTTGCTCCTGTCATGTATATCGCAGTCGAGAGAAATATAGTCTAGTTCATGATCACACCACTCTGCTGTCTCGTATATGTGTGTTTATTTGCCTGCCATATGATTTGATGGGTTGTATATACCCCCTATTGCGCCGCCCTCATACTGTCTACCCACCCTCCAGGTTGCTCGTCTGCTTCTGTTCATCTCACATGCTCACATGTCTTGTATCATGCATGTATGTGATATTCAATGCCACTCTAAATGCTTCCGAGTATTGCCTACAGTATAGCATATTTTGACAGTCCTATTCCCTATAGTATACCTATCCTGTTTTGTTTATTATATTATATCTATGCAGTTCTATCTACCGCAGTCCAACGATACAGGTCTCTTTATTTGCCTCTACACCTCTAAGCCGCACGCTCGCTACTGTCTCTTGCGATTGTTTCTGCGTCACGCTTGTGTGGGAGGGCTGTGAGTCTATCCCTGCTATGCCATACCTCCAAGTTAGGGTTCTAATCAGAAGTAAAGAAAAAACCCCAGATTTATCTCAAACATAGCGGACACCATCGGTAAATCGACCTGCCATTCTCATGAGACTTCTGAACGCGCACTTCTCATCTTCTCATGCAATAGGAAGAGATATTCGATCACATCTTCAGCCGTCTGGGGATCAACACGCCTTCTATCGACCATCCCGTGGTTTTGACCGAACGGGTATGTGGGCCCAAACATCGAGCATAGAAGTCTTTTTAATACTATGTTGTATTATGCATGGATCGAGCATAGAAATCTTCTTAATACTCTGTAATTATGCATGCATCGAGCATAGAAGTCCTCTTAATACTATGTAGTATTATGCATGCATCGAGCATAGAAGTATTTTTAATACTATGTAGTATTTTGCATGCATCGAGCATATATGTCTTCTTAATACTCTGTAGTATTATGCGTGCATCGAGCATAGAAGTCTTTTTAATACCATGTTGTATTTTGCATGCATGGAGCATCGAAGTTTTTTTAATACTATGTAGTATTATGCATGCATCGAGCATAGAAGTCTTTTTAGTTCTATGTAGTATTATGCATGCATCGAGTATAGAAGTCTTTATAGTACTATGTAGTATTATGTATGCATCGAGCATGGAAGTCTTTTAGTACTATGTAGTATTATGCATACATCGAGCATAGAAGTCTTCTGATTACTCTGTAGTATTATGCATGCATCGAGCATAGAAGTCTTTTTAATACCATGTTGTATTTTGCATGCATCGAGCATAGAAGTCCTCTTAATACTCCGTAGTATTATGCATGCATCGAGCATAGAAGTCCTCTTAATACTCTGTCGTATTATGCATGCATCGAGCATACAAGTCTTCTTAATACTCTGTAGTATTATGCATGCATCGAGCATATAAGTCTTTTTAGTACTATGTAGTATTATGCATGCATCGAGCATACAAGTCTTCTTAATACTATGTAGTATTATGCAAGCATCGAGCATAGAAGTCGTTTTAATACTATGTAGTATTATGCATGCATCGAGCATAGAAGTCTTTTTAATACTATTTAGAGTTGTGTATGGTCGCGGTCTCGTTCAGTATAGTTTCAGCCTATTCATTTCCAGGAAAGAAAACGGATTTTATTGTATTCATTGGAATAAGCACAGTACCAACACTCGTTTACTACAGAGCATGGTCTGTATATGGATCATCCGTGTAATAAGAGCGCGCTCATCCTCGCGTACTCTATGAGTAGTACCCACTTTATATGTGATTTCTATTCGAGCGCCTGTGTGAGCACACCCGAAACCCTAAACACCGCCAGCTCAAGAGCCACCCAGGTAATCTAATAATAGAATGTATCTACATAACATATACACACCCGCACAGGTCTGTGCGCCTATCTTCACGCGTGCGCGCTTCTTTGAGATGCTATACATGGCGTATGGCGTCCCTCGGATTGGCCTCGGCGTTGGCTGTCTCGTCAGCAACTACCTTCAGACCACTACAAGGCCAAGGTGCGTACTGCCTGGTCATGTAAATATATACGTATATATATATATGTATATATATATATGTATATATATATATATATATATATATATGGATATATATATAGTATGTATATATATATATATATATATATATATACATATATATATATATATATGTGTGTCTGTGTCTGTGTCTGTGTCTATGTCTCTCTGTGTGTGTATGTGTGTGTGTGTGTGTGTGGCCACCAGAGTCGGTGGAAGTGACGGTAAACATGCGATCGAGTTACGCACAGTGTGCTTAAATGCTCATACTATCATATCTCCCATTCACAGACGTATGGCAAATCTCACACATACTCTCATCTCTCTCTCTCTCACACATACTCTCATCTCTCTCTCTCACACACATACTCTCATCTCTCTCTCACACACACACACACACCAGTGCCAATGGTAGTGACGATAAATACGCAATAGTGATACAAATCGGCCACTCAGCCACACACATTGTCCCACTTATCAACGGACGAATGGACTCGCAGAACTGCAAACGGGTCAACATTGGAGCAGCCTCAACGGCGCACTACTTGCACAACCTGCTCAGGCTCAAATATCCCCAACACGCAGGTAGGATACACGTGGTTGGTTGTTACTATATAAATATACATGTACGGGTGCACCATGTGTATGCAGTAGACATCTGTATGTATACATGCGTTGACTATGCACACATGCATACATAGGCGATACACATATACACCCGTAGACCATACACACATATACGCATATTCAACATTGGAGTGGCCTCGACGACGCCTACTTGCACAGCCTGCTCTGGCTCGAGTGTCCCCACCAAACAAGTCCAAGTTACACAGTGATATGCCTCTCCCGCGGCATATGTCTCTGCTCGTACATATCATCATGAGAGTTTGTGTATGCGGAAGTGGAAGTGAAGATGACAACTTCCGGGGTTAACATCTCGCACTAGTTGATATCACTGTATGCACGGCGCCACACATATACTCACAATATGCGGCTTTCATTGTTTAGATTTGTATGGTGTCCCACCCTGTACCTATACATGTATACATATATGTATGTATGTATGTATGTATGTATGTATGTATGTATGTATGTATGTATGTATGTATGTATGTATGTATGTATGTATGTATG